GGTTTACCTACATGGTTTGTATCAGGAGACCTTACAGAACACACCTGGCAGGGCCATTCACGTGCTCTGGGGCTAGCTGAGCTGGAGGTGGACCTGGAGGTGCCTCTGTTTCTATTGCTTATGGGGGGGGCGGGAAGAGAAGAAAAAAAAACTTAGAAAATAGGCCAGAGGGGATCCGCAGATAGCGGGATGGCTGTGTCGCTGAATTCCCATGTAGTCAACCACGGTTCAAGTCCCAGACATGGTGACTTAACCTCACATTGGGCGCATGTGCGTGCATGCCCAAGATCCCGAGAGGATAGTGGAGGAGAAGGGATTGTGGCGTAGCCATCCCCTGGGGGGTGATTTCTCGCCTTCTGTGTCTCTCTCTGGCGAGCGCACGCACCCTATAGCAAAAACCTCTCAAAAAAAAAAAAAGTAAAGAAAAATAGGTCAGAGGTAAGATTCTGCATCACATGATCTGGAGATCTTAAGGCATGTTGGTTGCTGCTGTTTTTTTTGTTTGTTTTTTGTATGATTTTTGCAATAGACCACGTGGGTCCTCTGTAGAGAGACAGAAAGAGAGGGAAAGTGAGGAATCAGCCCCCAGGGGGATGGCCACAGTGCAATCCCTTCTTCACTATTTTTTCTCGAGATTGTGGCCAAACATGCACACATGCTCAGTATGATTCTCAAGCCGCCAGGTCTGGGTCTCAAGCCATGCAGTTGGCCATGTGAGATTTAGGTACCTTAAACACCATGCCACCTGCTGACTCCTGTAACTTAGTTTTTTTTTTTTTTTAATGGCCAATATTTGAAGGAAATAAGTGACATTAGTTTACAGATTATTTTGCCATACTCCAAGGGAAACATCAGTAGCTCTTTCTATATGCTTAGAATGCTATTTTAAAAATAAATTATGATGAAAACCAAGAAATGAATGATTTATTCTACAAATATTTATTGAGTGCTTACTACGTGAGAGCTGTGTCCTAAGTATGTAATATTTGGACCTCTTTTCTATTTGTCAACTAATTCAATAAAAATATTTCCTGTGATATCTGTAAATGTGGTCACAAAAGCTTTTATAACTTTCTATTTCCATCTGCCAGCCTCCCCCTTGTTTTTTGTTTTTTCACTTTTTTTTTTTCAAGTTCTTTTATACATTCAGTCACATTATTTAGCTTGCAAAGTGAATATTCCAACATGTGTGCATTTCTCCTCAGTCCAGTTGATAATACTGTAAAGTTATCTTCAACAGATAACACCCCATTTCTTTGTCCCATTAATGCTATGCCTATTTTTCTCCTTAATGTCCTTCCTCAGACTCTATTCTTAATTTGACCAGAGAGGAACAGAGCGAAAGCCGGTATTCACAACAATTTACTGTGTTTCTATATCCTTTATAGTCATTCAGTTTCGGTCATAGAGTGCAGACACTCGGTATATATTAAGTGGGGACATACAATGTCTCTCCCACATTCATTTTTTTAAAATATAACTTGCTAGAACATGCATATGCCCTTGGGGAATGGTCATACCGCACTCCCTTCTCCATTTCTTTCTTTTTTTTTTAAGAATTATTTATATTCATTTTTTTAAAATATAACTTGCTAGAACATGCATATGCCCTTGGGGAATGGTCATACCGCACTCCCTTCTCCATTTCTTTCTTTTTTTTTTAAGAATTATTTATTTCACTTTTATTCATTCATTCATTTTATTTTTTTAAATGTGACCAGAGAGATACACAGAGAGTGAGAGAAAGAGGGAAAGTGAGAAAGCAAGCCACCAGGTCCAGGACTTGAACCGTGGTCAGCCATGTGGGAGTGTCCAGTGCCTTAACCACCACGCCACCTGCTGGTTCCATCCCTTCTCCATTTCTTCTCTCAGGATCTTGGGCACACATGCCCCTGTGCCCAGCGTGTTTCTCAAGACACTGGGTTTAGGACCTGAACTACACACCTGGCCGTGCAGAATCCAGCCACTTTAACCGGCAGGCCACTGGTCCCATTGCTGCTGTTGGTTTCCTGCCTGTTCCTGCCCTTAATATGTGCCCCACCTTGGGGCTGGCAGGTGGTGTGGTGGTTAAGGCACTGGAATTCCACATGGCCGACTACAGTTCAAGTCTCAGATCTGCTGGCTCGCTTTCTCCTTTTTCCTTTCTTTCTCTGTCTCTCTCTAGTGAGCATATGGGTCCTTTAGCAACTTAAAAAATAATAACAAAAATAATTATTTTTTTGTTTGTTTCAAGAGAGCTTTTTTTTTTAAATTTCATTTTATTTATTTATTCATTTATTTTAATTTGACGAGAGAGAGAGAAAGTGGGAAAGCAAGCCACCAGGTCTGGGACTTGAACCGTGGTCGACCATGTGGGAGTGTCCAACACCTTAACCATCACGCCACCTGCTGGTCCCTCAAGAGAGATTTTTGCTCTAGGGCACATGTCCTTGCCAGAGAGACAGAAAGGGAGAACTCATTCCCCAGGGGCGATGGCCACACGGCAGTCCATTTTCCTCCAGTCTCCTCGGGATTTTGAGCACACGTGCCTATGCACCCGGCATGAGTTTCAAGCCACTGGACTCGAACTGCAGTCGACTGCGTGGGAGTCCAGCGACATAACCTTTATACTGTATGTTGGTCGCATAAATCTGAAAAAAAAAAAAAATACTGCCCAACCTCATCTAATAGATTCCCTACCCTGGTGTCTCAGTATGCATGAGTGACCCACACCTGCCACCTGCAGCCTCTGTCCCATCCCAGTCCCCCAACACCTGGCCCAGTGCCCTGCTTCCTCCCTGATCCGTCTCCTCTCTTCAACCCCCCTCCCTCTCAGTCTGCTCCCCGGAAGCAGCAGAAGGTTGTCTTTTCGAAATGTAAATCTCGACATTTCATTCTCTGATCGCGGTGGAAATTAAATCGGGAAAATTCACAGTCAAGTCGGGGGAGAGAGATTAAATTATCAGGAAAAAATAACATAAATCAGTATTTCGTTGAGTGCGCTGAGGTGAAGAATACTGGGGTAGAAGATGAACTTGAAATGGGTCATAGTCGGGGAGGCCTGGCTAGACAGCAGCTGGGGCCCAGGCCTGGAATGCAGAGCAGGTGAGGGGGTCCTGAAGCAGAGCGACAGGACAGGCCTGCCCTCAGGGTTCAGGGCCTTACCCAGGTAAGCAGATGGTCTGCGATAAACAGAAGATGAAAGTGATTTTTTTATTGGGGTCATCAGGTGACGTGGTGGTTAAGGCTCCTGACTCCCTTATGGCTGACTGTGGTTCAAATCCTGGATCCGGCAGCTTGCTTTCTCACTTTTCTTCTCTGTGTCTCTCTCTGGTAAAAGCACATGCCCGATAGCAAATTTTAAAATGATGATAAATAATATTAAATAAATCTTTTTTAAAAAGTTATTTCGGTTGGGACCAGCAGATGGCATAATGGCTAAGTCACTGGACTCCCATGTAGTAGAATGGAGGAGAAGGGATTGCGGCGTGGCCATCCCCCCGGGAGGGGGGTGATTTCTACTTTCTGTCTCTTTGTCTCTGTATTTCTGGCAAGTGCATGTGCCCTATAGCAAAAATGTCTCCAAAAAAAAAGTGATTTCGGGACCACAGATGGTGTGTTGGTTACGATGCTGGACTCTTACGTAGTTGACTGCAATTCAAGGCGTAGACCTGGTGGCTTCTAACTCTTGCCGAGTGCATGTGCGTGCATGTCCAAGATCTCGAGAGGAGACTGGAGGAGAAAGGATTGCAGTGTGGCCATCCCCCCTGGAGGGTGACTTCTCACTTTCTGTCCCTCTATCTCTCTCTGTCTCTCCAGTGAGCACACGTGCCCTGTAGCAAAAATCTCTTCAAAAATAAACGACCCACACTGGGCGTGTGTATGTGCATGCCCCAGGTCGGTACAGGATGGAACAGTGAAGGATAAGGGATTCCGCATGACCACACCCTGTTGGGGATGTGTCCTCTCTCCACCTGTCTCTTGCAACTGTGTGCACCTTCTGGCAAAATTAAAAGACTGAAAACATGGGGCCAGCAGGTGGCATGGTGGTTAAGGGCACGGGACTCCCACGTGGCCAGCTGTGGTCTGAGTCCTGGACTGGCGGCTTGCTTTCTCACTTTCTCTCTCTTGCTCTGTCCCTCTCTGGTCTAAATGAATGAATGAATGAAAGGAAGGAAGGAAATGAAATAAAATAATTAAAAATGTTAAAAAGACCGTAAACATGTAGAATGAACACAGTATGAGTGGGCAGCAGGTGGCATGGTGGCTCAAGGCGCTGGACTCCCATATGGCTGTCCATGGTTTGAATCCTGAACCTGTCAGCTTGGTTTCTCACTTTCCCTTTGTCTCTGTCTACATCTGGTTATACTAAAAACAAAATGATAATCAATAAAATAAAAATTCTTTTTAAAAATATTATATCTAACTTTATTATTATTACTTTTATTTTTTAATTTGACCAGAGAGAAAGAGAAAGCAAAAGTGAGAAAGCAAGCTACAAGTGCCTCAACTGCCACACCACCTGTAGGCCCCTAAAAAATTAATTAAAAAAAAAAAAGAATGAGGGGCCCGGCAGGTGGCGTGGTGGTTAAGGTGCTGGACACTCCCACATGGCCTACCATGGTTTGAGTCCCAGATCTGATGGCTTGCTTTCTCACTTTCCCTCTCTCTCTGTGTATGTATTTCTCGCTGGTCAAATTAAAAAATAAATGGATGAATAAATAAAATTAAATAAAAAATTAAATAACACTTTTTTTAAAAAAGTAAGATTTAATAAAGTTAAATCATCTAAAAAAGAAAACAGACAAAAAAGAAGGAATACAGTGTGATCAGGGAAACCCCTCTGGGAGGTGACATTTGAGTTGTAACCCCAGCTAGAAAGGTCCAGCCCTGGGACCAGCAGTTGGCGTAATGGCTACGTTGTTGGACTCCCATGTAGTTGACTGCAGTTCAAGTCCCAGACCCGGTGGCTTAAACTCACGCCGAGCACGTGTGCGTGCGTGCTGAAGATCCTGAGAGGAGGATGGAGGAGAAGGAATTGCGGCGTGACCATCCCCACTGGGGGGTGATTTCTCGCTTTCTGTCTCTCTGTCTCTCTCTGTCTTTCTGGCGAGCGCACGCGCCCTATAGCAAAAGCCTCTCCAAGAGAAAAAGAAAGGTCCAGTTGTGTGAAGGGTATTCCGGGCAGCAGGGAGAGGCAGTGCTAAGGCCGTGGGGTCAGGTTATTAGCTTGGTGGCTTTTCTGGAAGTTCGTTGAATGCATACGTGTCTGTCACCACGGCAGGTGTTCGTGGACACCGTGGGACTGCCAGACACCTACCAGGAGCGGCTGCAGCAGCGCTTCCCCGGGATCGAGGTGACAGTGAAGGCCAAAGCCGACGCCCTGTTCCCCGTGGTCAGTGCCGCCAGCATCTGCGCCAAGGTCAGTCCCTCCCCAGCATGGGCCATGGCCACTTCCCATGATGCCCTGGGGCGGGGTTAGATATGGCCGCCACGGGGGAGGATGATCATGGGTCTCTGTCCTGCGCACAGGTGGCTCGCGACCAGGCCGTGAAGAACTGGCAGTTTGTGGAAGAGCTGCAGGATTTGGATGTCGATTATGGCTCGGGCTACCCCAATGGTGAGCGGGTGGTGGTCTGGGGGTCGGGGAGATGTCTCGGAGGCTGTCTCCCCAAACTGAATCTTTTTTTTTTTTTCAAAGAATTATTTTAATTTTTTTTCTTTATTCCTTTTTTTTTTTTTTCCGGAGAGGTTTTTGCTATAGGGCACGTGCGCTCGCCAGAGAGACAGAGACAGAGAGACAGAAAGCGAGAAATCACCCCCCAGGGGGGATGGCCATGCTGCAGTCCCTTCTTCTTTCTCCTCTTGGGATCTTGGGCACGCATGCACCCGCGCTCGGCATGAGTTTAAGCCAGCGGGCCCAGGACTCGAACCATGGTCGACTACATGGGAGTCCAGTATTCATTTTTATTTTTTTTTAATTTTGACCAGAGTGGGACAGATTAAGAGAGCGAGAACGTGTGAAAGAAGGCCGCCAGGTCTGGGACTCGAACCATGATCGACCATGTGGAGTCCAGTGCCCTTATACATCAGGCCACCTGCGGGCACCCCCAAACTGAATCTTGAGCACATCCACCAGGTTCAGGACTCAAACCACAGTCTCATTTTTATTTTTTTTTAATTTTGACCAGAGTGGGACAGATTAAGAGAGCGAGAACGTGTGAAAGAAGGCCGCCAGGTCTGGGACTCGAACCATGATCGACCATGTGGAGTCCAGTGCCCTTATACATCAGGCCACCTGCGGGCACCCCCAAACTGAATCTTGAGCACATCCACCAGGTTCAGGACTCAAACCACAGTCGGCCATGTGGGAGTATGCCACCTTAATAACTAAGCCACCTCTTGGTCCCTTTAAACTGCATCTCTTTTTGGGAACCAGCAGTTAGCGTAATGGCTATGTCGCTGGACTCCCACGTAGTCGACTGCGGTTCGTGTCCCGGACCCGGTGGCTTAAAACTCACGCCGGGCGCATGTGCGTGCGTGCCCAAGATCCCAAGAGGAGAATGGAGGAGAAGGGATTGCGGCGTGACCATCCCCCCTGGGGGGTGATTTCTCGCTTTCTGTCTCTATGTCTCTCTCTGTCTGTCTGGCAAGTGCATGCGCCCTACAGTGAAAATCTCTCAAAAAAAAAAAAAAAACTGCATCTCTTTTTTTTTTTTTGTGAGATTTGTAGGAGGCTAGCAGGTGACATGGTGGTTAAAGCAGTGGACACTCAAACATGGCTGACTGCAGTTCAAGTCCTGGACCTGGTGGCTTGCTTTCTCACTTTCTCTCTCTTTCTCATTCCTATTTTGTTCCTCTCCGGTCAAACTTAAAAAAAAAAAAAAAAAAAAAACCATAAAGTTTAAAATAAATTTTTTTTTTCTTCTTTTTGGAGTTTAAGTCACTGGGTCCGGGACTCGAGCCGCGGTTAACTACGTGTGAGTCCAGCGACATAGCCATTACGCTAACTGCTGGTCCCTAAAAAAAAAATTCTTAAAAAAAAAAAAAACACAGAAACTCACACTGTGCACATGTGTGTATATGTGTCCAAAATCCTAAGAGGAGAATGGAGGAGAACGGATTGCAGTGTGGGCATCCCCCCTGGGGAGTGATTTCTCACTTACTTTTTCCCTCTTCCAGTAAGCACACATGCCCTAGAGCAAAAATCTCTCCAAAGAAAAAATTATTTGCTTAATTTTAGTTATTACTGTTTTTTTCATTGGACTGGAGGGCTGGTACCGTGTACAGGTCTTGAACTGTGGTTGGCCATGTGGGTGTCCAGTCCCTTAACCACCACGTCATCTGCCGGTTCCCTTAAACTACACCTTGACCACTCTCTACCGGGCTGAGTGGGCTGCACTATTTATGCAAAGGTCGTGGGGCAGGAATATGCCTGGCACCGGGAGGGGCCCCAGGGCTCCAGAGAGGGAGCCCTGGAGGTGAACGCGAGACTCAGGCTGTCCCCTTTGCCACCCTAGATCCCAAGACGAAATCGTGGCTGAAGAAGCACGTGGATCCCGTGTTCGGCTTCCCCCAGTTCGTCCGGTTCAGCTGGCGCACGGCCCAGGCCATCCTGGAGAAGGAGGCGGAAGCTGTTACTTGGTGTGTGGTCCCCAGGGTACTGCCCGGAAGGAGGGCAGGAGGCCAGGGCTCAGCCCTGCCTGGGGTGGGGGCCCTGCTCTGGAACTGGTCGGCATGGTCACCCGTCTCCCACAGGGAAGACTCGTCACCCGAGGAGCAGGAAGGACCCGGGAGGATCACCTCCTACTTCTTCCAGGAAGGCCCTCGCACCCGCCCCCGCCCTCTCCACCGTTACTTCCAGGAGCGTGGCCTGGAGTCAGCCACCACCCTGTAGGGGCCAGCCTGGACCCCTCCACCACCCCCACACCCTCTTTCCTCCTGGCCCCCCAACAGCAATTAAAGTTCAGGGAGGGACCAAGCCAAGGGATCGTGCTTTGGGGGCAGAGGTGGTCAGAAGCTTTCGGTTCAGCTGGGCCAAGTGCCCAGAGCTGCTGCTTTTTGGAACTGGAACTGAATGGTCAGTGGCTTTGCGGTCTCCAGTCTCGGGCTCCTTTGGACTCTAGGCATGTACCACCATGCCTGACCTTTAGGTTGGATTATTATTTTTTTTAGTTTTTCTTTAGGACGCTTATCAGAGAAAGACAGAGACACAGAGGGAAGGTGTGAAATCACCTGCTTGGGGGCCTTACTGCAGCCCCTTCGCCATGCTCCCTTCAGGATTTTGGCCACACCCACATATGTGCCTGGCATGTTTTTCAGACCACCGGATCCAGGACTTGAGCCACACCATTGGCCACGTGGAATCCAACAACCTTATTTTTTTTTTTTTTTTTTTTTTGAGAGTTTTTTTTTTTTTTTGGAGAGATTTTTGCTATAGGGCGTGTGTGCTCGCCAGACAGACAGAGAGAGACATAGAGACAGAAAGCGAGAAATCACCCCCGCAGAGGGGATGGCCACGCTGCAATCCCTTCTCCTCCATTCTCCTCTCGGGATCTTGGGCATGTACGCACACATGCCCGGCATGAGTTTTAAGCCACTGTGTCCAGGACACGAACCGTGGTTGACTACGTGGGAGTCCAGCGACATAGCCCTTACTCCAACTGCTGGTTCCCGAGAGGTTTTTTTTTTTTTTTTTCCTGGGAGGGGGAGAGGTTTTTGCTATAGGGCACGTGCACTCACCAGACAGACAGAGAGAGACAGAGACAGAAAGCGAGAAATCACCCCCGCAGAGGGGATGGCCACGCTGCAATCCCTTCTCCTCCATTCTCCTCTCGGGATCTTGGGCACACATGAACATGCGCCCGGCGTGAGTTTTAAGCCGCTGTGTCTGGGACTCAAATTATGGTTGAAAACATGGGGGTCCAGCGACATAGCCATTACGCTAACTGCTGGTCCCTGTTTTTTTTTTTTTTTTTCATTTACCAGAGAGCACATGCCAGAGACAGAGAAGGAGACTGCACCTCCCTCTGGAATATGGTCATGTCACAATCCCCTCTCCATTTCTCCATGCTGTTGGGCTTTGGGGCACACACACACACACACACACACACACACACGCCTGGCTTGTTTTCTCAAGACTCTGGGCAGCATTCAAACTCCAGCTGTCCATGAGGGATCTGCTTCCCCGTGCACAATGGTGCTTAACCTTAACCTCTGTGCTACCGGGCTGGCCCAATTGTTTTCTCATTGTCACTAACTTACCGTGCCCAGTTTGTAAATTACACTTTAGCAGAGGTCCATCCATATAGGGAAATTCAACAGCCCTCCCGTCTTCACGGTGGATGTGGTCCAGACCCCCCTTACGTGTCCGAAACATCGCTCAGGTTGGCCCAGCAGTCAAAACCAGGCTTCCTGTGTAGCCTCCAGACTCCCAAGCAGTGGTTTTTCCTGTATGCCACCACGTCTGGACTATAGTTGATTCACATTGATTTCCTATCCAGCCCTCCTCTTCCTCGGTGGTCACCCCACTTTGCTTTGGGGGAGCCAGCCCCTCCCTCATTCTCAGCCCACATGGTTCAGATGGAGCTGACCCTTCTCATAGGCTTAGCGGCACAAGCCTACACTCCAGGTCAGCCCAGCGTGAACACAGCATCCCCCAGGCACAGTGATTGGTTCGGTGATGCTTGTGAGGAGGCTGGGTCAGTGACAGCCAGCCTGGGAGACCTGGCTGCGTTTCCAGAGAAACTGACATCTCTGACCACTGGCATCGTGGAACTGTTAGTGCATGTTTCCCGCTGTTGGGAGAGTCTTAGGATATGAGGGAGAAAAGATACAGATTTTTTTTTTTGAGAGGTTTTCGTTATAGAGCACGTGTGTTTGACAGAGACAAAAAAACAAGAAATCCCCTAGCGGGGATGGCCATGCCTTAATCCCTTCTCCTCCATTCTCCTCTGCGGATCTTGGCCACGTATACACACGGCCTGAGTTTAAGCCGGGTCCAGGACTCGAACTGTGCTCAACTACATGGGAGTCCAGCGACATAGCCATTACGCCACGTCTGGTCCTGGGACTTCCATTCTGTCTTCCCTGGTAACAAGGAAGGAATGAGCCTAAAGTATACTACTTATTTCAGTGGTTTTGTTTTGTGTTAGGTTTTTGCTGTAGGGCAGGTGCACAGAGACACAGAGGACTTCCGGGTCCAAGACTCGAACCGTGTCGGAGTCCAGCTTCCTAACCACCACGTCACCTGCTGGCCGCTATCACTTTCTGGCAATTCTACTTCCCCAAGAAGCAGGCGGACCAGTGCTCTTAGCTGACTTTATTCACCCGGGACAGGGAAACGTGAGCGGGAGCTGCGTGGCTTCTTGGCTAACTTTGGGGAAAGGGGAGAGTTTCTGGAGTCACGTGGAAGAAGGGCGGGACACTGGGAACTAGAATCCAGAGGGACAGGGGTGGCGCCCGGGGTGTCCCGAGGGGCTGGGCTTGTTAAGTGCCCCGTCTCCCGCTCAAGGCCAGGTGTCCGCTAGGGGACCCTCCCGCTCCCGCTTCCACTTGGCCCAGCAGTCAAAACCAGGCTTCCTGTGTAGCCTCCAGACTCCCAAGCAGTGGTTTTTCCTGTATGCCACCACGTCTGGACTATAGTTGATTCACATTGATTTCCTATCCAGCCCTCCTCTTCCTCGGTGGTCACCCCACTTTGCTTTGGGGGAGCCAGCCCCTCCCTCATTCTCAGCCCACATGGTTCAGATGGAGCTGACCCTTCTCATAGGCTTAGCGGCACAAGCCTACACTCCAGGTCAGCCCAGCGTGAACACAGCATCCCCCAGGCACAGTGATTGGTTCGGTGATGCTTGTGAGGAGGCTGGGTCAGTGACAGCCAGCCTGGGAGACCTGGCTGCGTTTCCAGAGAAACTGACATCTCTGACCACTGGCATCGTGGAACTGTTAGTGCATGTTTCCCGCTGTTGGGAGAGTCTTAGGATATGAGGGAGAAAAGATACAGATTTTTTTTTTTTGAGAGGTTTTCGTTATAGAGCACGTGTGTTTGACAGAGACAAAAAAACAAGAAATCCCCTAGCGGGGATGGCCATGCCTTAATCCCTTCTCCTCCATTCTCCTCTGCGGATCTTGGCCACGTATACACACGGCCTGAGTTTAAGCCGGGTCCAGGACTCGAACTGTGCTCAACTACATGGGAGTCCAGCGACATAGCCATTACGCCACGTCTGGTCCTGGGACTTCCATTCTGTCTTCCCTGGTAACAAGGAAGGAATGAGCCTAAAGTATACTACTTATTTCAGTGGTTTTGTTTTGTGTTAGGTTTTTGCTGTAGGGCAGGTGCACAGAGACACAGAGGACTTCCGGGTCCAAGACTCGAACCGTGTCGGAGTCCAGCTTCCTAACCACCACGTCACCTGCTGGCCGCTATCACTTTCTGGCAATTCTACTTCCCCAAGAAGCAGGCGGACCAGTGCTCTTAGCTGACTTTATTCACCCGGGACAGGGAAACGTGAGCGGGAGCTGCGTGGCTTCTTGGCTAACTTTGGGGAAAGGGGAGAGTTTCTGGAGTCACGTGGAAGAAGGGCGGGACACTGGGAACTAGAATCCAGAGGGACAGGGGTGGCGCCCGGGGTGTCCCGAGGGGCTGGGCTTGTGAAGGGACCCGTCTCCCGCTCAAGGCCAGGTGTCCGCTAGGGGACGCTCCCGCTCCCGCTTCCACTCCCGCTGCCCGCAGCCCCCTCCCGCTGCCTGCAGCGTCCAGGATCCCGCGGCGGCGGCGGCGGCGGCGGCTCGGGCGCCCAGAGGGAGCTTCCCGGACCCGCCGCCCGGGTCTGGGACGCGGCTGCACCGAGGTGGAGATATTGAGGCAGTGAGGGGCGCCAGGAGGTGCCACTGACACGTCGTGGCCCAGAGTCGAGCGACAAAGATCCGCACCGTCAGCGAAGGTCTAAGAGAAAGGGCAGAGCGAAAGCGCCAGTGGGCGGGGTCACTGCACTGGGCGGGGCCTTTGCAAGGGGAGCGTCCAGGACCTTCTAGGAAGGCGGAATCAGTTTGGGAGTGCAGGAGCTCTGCAGACTGGCCGGGGACGGCAGGGAGGGCGAGTCAGGACCCTGGGGTGCAGGACGCGGTGTGGAGTGTCTAGGTCGCCTACCTTCTGCCCTGTGCTCACCTGCCCATAGGTACGGCAGCCAGGCACGGCAGCCGGGCCCGCAGCCTCTCTTTTCTGGAAGTGGGAGCCAAGTCGGGCCGCAGGTGCTAGCGGCTTCGCAGGTGGCGTACCTGGGGATGGCGAGGAGAGTAGGCGGCTGAAGACTCCGCAGCCAAGTTGGAGCGGGATTACCACTTTTCCAGGTTTCACCTCGTTTATATGCAGCAGGTCCAGGGCGCGCCCCATCCACTCCATAACTCATTTCTCTGCATCCCATAATTCTTTTTAACAAATTATTTAATTTTATCTTTAAATTTTTAGAGTTTTTTGCTATAGAGAGCATGCGCTGGCCAGAAAGCGAGAAATCACACACCCCCGGGTGGGGGGGGATGGCCATGCCGCAATCCCTTCTCCTCCATTCTTCTCTCGGGATCCAGGGCTCGCACACCTACCCGCCATGAGTTTAAGCCACCGGGTCCGAGACTCGATTTGTGGTCGACTACATGGGAGTCCAGCAACATGCCCAAAACGCCAACTGACTGGCCCTTCAGTTTTTAAAGAATTATTTTATTTATTTACTTATTTATTTATTTTAGTTTAACCAGAGAGAGAAAAAGTGAAAAAGCAAGCCATTAGGTCCGAGACTCGAACTGCATACAGCCATGTGGAAGTCAAGCACCCTTAACCCTTAGTTTTTTTTTTTAAAGAGATCTTTCCTATAGGGTGTATATATTCGACAGAGAGAAAGTGAGAAATAATTCCCCAGGGGAGGGGGATAACCATGTCCCTGCTGCATTCTCCTCTGGAGATTTTGGGCACACATGCACACGTGTCCCTTGTAAGTTTGAAGCCACCAAGTCTGGGACTCAAACTGCAAATAGACATGTGGGAATCAGACGTAACCATTACGCCATCTGTTGGTCCCGATTATTATGATTTTTAAATTGGTACAAGACACATGGGCTCGACAGAGACAGAGGGAAAGTGAGAAAGCAATTCATTGGGAGCCGTACTCGAACTGTTGTTAGCCATGTGGCAATCCAGCGCCTTAACTACCACCCTTCTTGCTGCTTCCCCATCCCATATTCTACCAGCCCTTTCCACTCATATCCTGGGGCCACGTCACACCTGGTTTTATTGCTAACCTCAGACCCTGTGTTCCAGGCCAGCCCCTCTATATTCAGACCCTGCAACTTCTTTTGGCCTTCAAGAGGTCCCGCCCCTTTAAAAGCCTTAATCTCCTGGAAGGCCACGCCCACGAGCTGCCATCCTAATAGCCTAGGGCTTCACAGGCCTCGCCCCCTTTGATCCTTTAGACCTTGACTTCAATGGGATCAGGCCACGCCCCTTCAGCCACAAGGCCCAATCACAGCCCGCCCGCGGCCCCGCCCAAACAGGCCCCGCCCCCAAGCCCCTCCTCTCTTACCAGGCCTGGCAGAGCTCCGCACAGAGCGGCTGCTCCTGGTGGACCCCCAGCAGCACCAAGCGGAAGCGACTGCGGAGGGCAAGTTGCAGGTGTCCCAGGAAGGATTCGCACCTGGAATTTGAAGAGACAGGGCTGGATGGGTCAGGATCCGTGGAAGGTTCTGATTCCCAACTCTGTCTACTGGGGCAAATTATGAGAAAATGCTGGTGGGTGCTGTGCTTACCTGGGGTTTGGGGTCCCACAGCGCTCCGGGGAGATCCCAGGGCCAGATGCCTCCTGGGTGTCCACCTCTTTGAGACAACACGGTCCCGGCAAGGGGGATCCCTGTGAGTCAGGGTCTTGGATCTTCAAGTAAGGTTGGGGAATCGAGACCTGGAGGTCTTCTGAACAAGGGAGACTCCAATTACATCCGTCCCCCCAAACATAAAACTTAAAAGCACGTTGCTTTGGGACCAGAAGATGGCGTAATGGTTATGTCGCTGGACTCCCACATGGTTGACCGTGGTTCAAGGCCTAGACCAGGAGGCTTGAAACACTCTGGGCACATGTGCAAGAATGGAGGAGAAGGGACTGTGACATGGTTATCCCCCCGAAGAATGATTTCTCTCTTTCTGTCTCTCCCTGTCTCTTTGGTGAGTGTACATGCCTACAGCAAAAATCTCTCTGGGACCAGCAGTTAGTGTAATGGCTATGTCGCTGGACTCCCACGTAGTTGACTGCGGTTCGCGTCCCGGACCCGGTGGCTTAAAACTCATGCC